GGTGGCTATGTAACGTTCTCTGCATTGCTCCAACTTCTTGTCGATCTCCAGCACATGCAACTCGTGTCCATTGGCCTCTCCATCTTCATGTCGGCTTAGAGCCCAGTAATAGTGATATATAATATCCTAGATGGAGCGCGATCTACCGCCCGATAGGCGTCGCATTTCACCTTCCTGGCCATGCGAAGGTACTCGTAATCCTCGTTAATCTCATCCAGCAATTTTCGGCGGATGCCGGACTTAATCCACCTAACGATTTCACTGCGTCAAGGAGGCTGTACCATAAGTACCATGGTCTGAGCTTAAGCCAAGCAACAGCAATGAATGAAGCTGCCAGCAGTAACACTGCTATTGTCGCATACCGCGCCGTAGTACTCGAGTCCATGATGACGAAATGATGAACTGCCGTGTACGACACCACACACGCAGGCAGAGAGCTCAACTCATTCCGGCCTCTCTCCAACGGCTGTCAATGCTCACAAGGGGCATACCACATATCTTAAGACTGAAAATCAGCAATCGACCTCGAAAACCATGCCATCTGTGCAGTCTTCTGCCGTAATACCGCTACAGGGCTCTCCCTCGAAATACCTGACGGCAACATGAACGAGATGAGCGAGCCTGTGAGAGCTCACAGTGCAGTGACGGTATTTGGCTTGAGGACCGAATTAATGTGCTTTAACATCATACTCACGTTGGCCTCGGGCGACGCCATCCTGAATCGCATCTCTCTGGTATCCGTAGATCAGCATGCAATAGAGTAGGGAGCCTCCCAATCACACACGAATATCAAAGGTACTACATCATATGATCTACGCAAAACCCGGGGAGTTGGAGCCGGGCAAGTTCCTCATCGCCACCACGCTTCGAGATGATAATGCTCATACCCTGAAATGATTGCCCGATGATCGCTATCAACAGATACAGAGCTTACTCCCATATTTGAAGGTACTGAAGATTGTTGCATGGACCGAGCGGGCCCATCACCAGCTTTGACCTTAGGCATAATAAAGAGAACTCTGTGGATCCTTAAAGATACTCCAGCGCAACAATGAGCACAAAGACGAGGTAATCACGATCCAAGGACATGCTCAGAGAGGCACCGAGAAATATGTCGCTCAACGTTAGACTCGGCATCTGGAAAGCAGCGTGGGTTTGTACCAATTGACTGATAATTACAAATGCCTGAAGAGCATAAGGCCCAGGGGGTGCTGCATCGCCATGCATTCAGTAGAGCCAGACCTGACGGGATATCCAAATTTACTTGAGGGTAATAGTACCTCGGAGGCCCTGGCGTGTTGGTAGCGCTTCTATCCGAGTACCAAGAGTCGGGTTAATGCTAGGCAAGCCTGCTGCTAACTGTGGCAGCCTACCATGGCTCTTGGAAAGGCTCATCGCCTTACGAAGATCGCTTAACTGACTCCGGAGTTCGGGTACACAATATGCATCGGTAGACGACCTACGGCGTTCTTGGAAGGCATTTGCGTGTCGTTCAAATGACGCATGTTATCTTTGGCAAAAGTAGACATCTGCATATCAACATCCCGCTTCAATGGTCGGATTAGACCTCGTCCCGCGAACCTAAAAGACACTCTGACGGCGGAGGAGACGTTTATCGACAGCTACGGTATGTATTGAATTTCTCCTCGGAAGCCGTTCCCTCGCCACCGATCATCCGA